TCGTTTTTTCTTTCTATGGGAGAAAAGAAATCTTATGAGTCACATTGATGATTGTCCTTCACTGCCCAGCTGGCACCAGGGCCCTAGCCCTAGCCTTAGCCCTCCGGCCACCACCCCTCTCTCTTTGACCCATTATTTCACTGGGAATTAGCTGCTTCACTTTCCAATTTGGAGATTTGGAATCTTTCAGGCTTATTGTCCCCCTATTACATTTCAGTTGTCCTCCTGGCCAGGTGGGAACCACAGTGGTGGCTATAAGAGTCTCACAGGGAATGACTGAGGTCGAATTTTAAGGTCCTGAAACAAACTGATGATGAGCATACAAAGGTGACCTGTTTTTCAGTCACTGCTGTGCGTAGGAGAAAGGACCTGTTTTGAATAATGCTGGAAAAACCAGGGGGCTGGGATTATCCTTGCATTCGCTCTTGAACAGGGACATGGGTCATCTGGCTTGGAGAATGTACCATGCAAAAAGAGAGTCTCCCAGCTTTTACAAGGAAAATGACTTAGAAATTTTAGTTTGTGTTTTTTTTGTTGTTGTTGTTGTTTTGTGTTTTTTTGTTTTGGTTTTTGGTTTTGGTTTTTGGTTTTTTGTCATGCCCAGCAAATGTAATCCTTTATCAGCCTTCCCTATATCCTAAATTATCTTCACATCCCTTTTTCTTCCCTGTAGCCTGCCCTTATGTTTTTGTATGAGATGACCAGCTCTTCTCAATCCCTACTTCTAAGTCTTTATCTTTATTTCCTGCCTTCCTGCAATCATTAGCACTATCCAGTCAGACCTCTAGATGTTCTGAAGTAAGACTTACCATTTAACCTCAAAGCATATGCACACCGATGCACGGAGCAGTCAGCTTTCCTATGTACTCCATGAGATTACTCTCCTCCGATATAATTGCCCTGGCCTCAGCTAAACCACCCATATCCCCTGCTCCCAGGACTGAAGAAATAAAAACTCCAAGTACAGATCAGCTCTGGGAGTCCCCACACCATTGAATGGGATGATTCTGTAGGGGGGCCTATTTCCATTTTATAGCAAGAAAAAAGAGATTTTCAAGGTTTCAGTCTCTCTCAAGGAAAAAAAAAAAAAACATGATGGTGTTGATTTTCTCCTATTATTTTCACTGCTTAAAATTCTACTGGTGAGCTTGATTTCAGGCTATGAAATCGTAGCTTCAGCCACGTGGTTGCCCCTGTTTGATGGTTACAGCTCACACTAAGCAAACCCCAGGGACTGACAGGGTGATGTTGAGACAGCGCCTGCCTTGGGCCTCTCCTCTCCTGGCCATACCTTGCCCATTCCTGATTTGTCTTTCCCTCTCACTCTTCCATTTTGAACATGCCATTCCCTTGGCAGTTCCCTGGAACTCTCTGATATCTAGGAATTTACCTGGCTGTCTTGCTTGGAAGAAGCAGACACAAGGATTGACAAGCTTGTTTCCATGGTACCCAGCCATTTCTGGGAAGCCTGGAAGAAATAAGGGCTTTTTTTTTTTTTCAATTCATTCCTGTTTGTTCGCTTTTGCAGATGTAGAACACATGGAAACCTTAGATTGAAGCCCAGGATAGGCTCTGGATGAACCGCATGTGGGTCAGAGGCCAGGGTCCCTGCCTATCCCATGTTTAGCAAATACAGAGCCCAGTTATCGGTTGGCATTACCCGTGTGTGGGTCTCTGTGCTATTCCAGTGCCTGGATTCAAACAACCAGCAGAGCATAGAAAGATGAGATGCTTACCCAAGGCTTGCATTCAAAACTCTAATTGGAAAAAGTCTGGGTCAATTTCAAAGACCACAATGGGAGGTCACTCCCTTGCAACTCACATGAGTACTGAGGTTGACACAGATAATTTGTCCCCAAGAAAGAGCTTTAAACAGGAACTGTACCTCCAATGCCACCTTGCCTTATCAAAGCAATAGTGTAGTTGAAAGCCCTCCAGTGGTGTGCCCACCTGGAGGTGCTTCCTCTCCTGGAGGAAGCTCTAAGGGAGCTTTGAATATGGGCTTGAACTTCTCTACCTTAGCAGAATAGACCTGTTCAGTGAACTGGAACATGAGCACCACCTAGTGGTGACACTTGGAACTGGAGGAGCCGTTTCTTGTTTTAGATGAGTATAAATGATTGCAGGTTTTCTTATACAATAGGAATAGTGCTATTATTATAAGGGGGGTTATTTTCTCTGTTTTCTTTTCTAGCCAAAGCAATAAAAACAGAGGAATGTGTCAAGGGACTTCAATAAGAAAATCTTTAAAGAATAACAAATCCATCACCCCCTCACCCTGATCCATCAACAGCCTCAAACCAAAGTAATGGCTGTTCTTTACATTTCAAAAGTTTTCAGACACAGAGATTGTACTGTCCCATCAGGATGTTCCAGGAATATCATCACCTAAAGGAAACTTACCTCTGTGATCAGTGCCAATTTCTTTTCTTTTTTTCTTTTTCTTTCTTTTTTTTTTTCCTTTTTATCTTTTTTGGTGCTGGAGGTGTACCCAGGTTGGTTCAAGCATATTAAGCTTGGGCCACTGTGCCGCATGCACCCCAGCCCATTTTCTTATTTTCAGTGTTTTGAAGAAGTGATGTCCAGCCACCTTCCTCCTCCATCTGACCCCAGTGAATGCTTAGAGAGTTCATAACTCACTTTTCCCTTCTCACAAGAAACAAGCCTGTTTCCATTTAGATTTTCTTACAGGTCTGATTTCTAGTCCGTGTTACCCATTGTCTTGTTCTTTTGAGTCTCCTCATTTCTCTATACAATCCACTTAAGTAGAGGGATAAACCTGAACGGTGTTTTCTCATCAGCCACAGGGCAGCCGAGTCCTCTGGGCTTTTGCTGTAGCGGTCACCACGCCCTGAGTGATGGGGCTTCTTTGGGCCAGACAGAGATCAAAGAGAGAACTGTTTCCATGGCTTGGATGTTTCTAGAGCTCTACCATTTATTAGTAGTAATATTCGATCACCTGCATTTCTCTGTCTGCCTCCCTGAACCACATCCCAATCCCAACTCCACAGGCCACAACCCTCCTCCTGACTTCAGTTCGTGATGTTCTGTCCCTACCTGGGTATCTTATCCAATCTCACTGGCTTTACCCACTATTTCTCTGATATATTGGGCTCCCCATACATTCCATTCTCAGTTTGGGGTTTTTTGTATAATTAAGCCCATTCTAAGTTTTTTTAATAGGATCATTGAAATAATCAACAGCTAAAGCCATATTGATCCCTGGAAAAAAAAAATACTTTTCTGAATACCAGGGTGAGCTCACACCAGCTAATCCTTTTGTAGGATCTGTGCCTCCACCCGTGGAGAAGATCACCCAGAATAAGGGCTTAGAAAAGACTGCCTTCATATCCTATGATATTGTCTGCCTTCCCTGATAAAGAAGAAAATTAAATTGGCCTGGTCTAATAAACTCTTTTCCAGTATCTTGAATTCTCTTAAGTGGCTACAAATTGATTGTTCCAGCCCATTGCTGAGACTAAATTGAATTAATTAATTAATAGACAATGTTTTCCGTCTTAGATGACAGGATCTTTTTCATTATAACTTGACGACAATTTTTTTTGTAAAGCTGGTTATTCTACAGAACCAGCTGTGAATGCCCCGCAGGGAAGAGGTGCCACCCAACCCAACCTGGATGATGGGGTCATTTCCTTTTGTTTCTTTCATTTTCTTCCCATTCTGGTTTGACATTCTCATCCAAAAATGTCAACTTGTTGAATTCTGATGACGAAGATGAGAATAACAGAAAAGATGAAGAAGACACTGTCTTGTTCCAGCGGCTTATTAGGCAGAAGGAGCTATAAACAAGCCCAGCTCCTTCCTCTTCAACCTTCCCTTTGGACCTTTAAGATCACTGGGAAGACCTGTGGGCGTCTTGCGAGCTGTGTCTGCAGTGTTGTCGGCAACTCAACACAAGTGCTGCTGATCACCATCACTGGGGACAGAAGCAAGGCCCACGTTGCTGGCCTCCTTTACCATTCCTGGTGTCATGGTGGCCCTTTATACCCGAGTGGTCCTGCAGGCATCTTCCTTGGGGTCTCCAGACGGTTTCTGTCTCTGAAGGGAGGGTCACTTAGAGATGATCTCACTCAAAGGAGCCAAATTCTACGGGAGTTTGGAAAGAAAGAGCTACAAACCATGTCATAAGTTTCCTGCTTGGACAAAACGTGTGTGCCCATTTGATTTCCCCAAGGAGTCATTTGGGCAGATAAATGTGTCATGAAAGCAACTTCAAATTAGAACCAGGGCTAAGATCTAGAACCAATTCAGTAACAAATCGAGGAACCCCCTGAAAATGTCTCATGTTCTCTGCGACTGGGTTTCCCTGTATAAATCAAACCAGTCTCGCCACAAAGTGGGAAATGATCTTGGATGGTGTATGAACTAGGGATATGAGTAAAGGAAACCCTGTGGTGTATTCTCTCTCGGTCCCAACAGATGAGGAGAGACTTGGTTTGGCGCTTGTGTCTTTCACTCCTTCTGACCCTCCATAACCTTTTTCCTTCACAGAAAGGCAGGCCCCTGACCCGTTATGGCCACCAACAGTGTCTACCCAGGATCTGAAAACATTGATTTTTTTTCAGGGTTAATCTCTAAATGTGATGAAAAGGGGTGCTGATCTTTCACTTCTGGTTGTGATATAAAGTTGTCTTGGGGGGAAAAAGGTCTATGAAAAGAAAAAAAAAATTATTGAGTACATAGAATTTCAAGTACTTGCATAAAAAACTGTGAAGGGGCTACATGGATCCCAGAGATGTGTAGAAATCTCACAGGGGGCACATAAGGGACTAGCATTTGGAAGGACCTGCCCTGCTCTTACCTGCCTTTCCAGACCTAAAGCCCACAATGTATGTTGCTTTTCCCATCACTCCATGCCAGATAGAAATTACAAGAAGATTACCACCGTGTCAGCAGGGTGGATGGTGTGCAGTCTAAAAACATCGTGTGTGTATGTGTGTGTGTGTGTGTCTAATCTATCCTTTTTATTTTTTTCACAGTTCATTTATGATGAAAAAGTTTCTTGGTAAGTACCTTTTTTCCTTTTCCACTTTTCTCTTGTTATATTGCAGATCCAAATATATTGAAGGCCAGAGTTCAGGTTTAGAAAAGAAAGGGAAAGGCCATGATAACTTGGAACAACTAGATTTCTTGGGAACCCTCTGTCCATCTCAACAAAGAAATTCAATTGGCTTTCATTAAGCAGAGATTGTTTTTTCTCTTGGACTGGAGTGGGGGCTTCCATTCAGAATCTTCACAGCTAGATGTGTCTTTATTGAATCCATGTTGGATGTTGTGACTTTGCTGAGTCTTTCTATAGTCAACCATTTGCTAGGCTATGGTTGAGATTTGGCTGATCCTTTAAGATTATATCTGTGTTGGTCAGATTTCTGGTACTATAACAAAATAACTTAGATAAGCAACATATAAAGAGCAAAGGATTTGTTTGGGCCCAAGATTTTGGAAGTTTCCGTCTACGATCAGTTGGCCCTCTTGCTTTGGGGCCTGTGACATGACAGGAGTGCATGACAGAACAAAACCAGTTATAGTTACAAAGTAAATGAAAGAGGAAAGGGCTAAGTCTCACTATCCTCTTGAAGGACAACCCCCAATGACCCAGAGATCTTCCACTAAGCCTTACCTTTTAAAGGTCCCACCACTTTCCACTGATGCCAAACTGAGGACCAAGAACCTGACTTATAGGTCTTTGGGGGACATTCCAGATCCAAACTCCTTCAGTATCCAAACCAAGTTCAAGATTCCAAATCTCATCTATATCTGAGGAGCCAGGAGCCAGGCACCTCAGTGACCTTTAACCCACTAAAGTTCTGCCGAACATTCAAAGAAAACAATCTCAGAGCTCTGAAAACCAGCAATTTTTTTTTTAAATAGAAAACTTTGTCCAGATTAAATATATGGAAGGATATTTGCATTGTGGACAGCTGTCCAAATCCCCCATTCTTGAAATGAGTTCTGAGTAAGTCAAATATATTTGAAATGGAAATAGAAATAGCCCATGCTGTGCATCCCTGTTATATTTTTTTTTCAAATATTTAATCTTTAGAAGTAGAAGAGTGTGAAATAACTTTTTAGGAATAAGAGTGACTCTGTAGCTATAAGACTTTCATGGCATCACTTAAAGCCAGGAATGAGCTTCGGAAAGAAGTAGAGCCTTCACCCGGCTTCACTTTCTGCAAAAGAAACGCCAAGGCTTTTTTGTTCTAACCCTTTGCTCCAGCGGGCATCTCTGTGTCAGAGGACATCTCTGTGATTTCCAGAGTTTGAAGGTGGCAGGGAACCTATCATCATGTTGATGATAAATGTCATGTATTATACCAGGGTATTATTAAGAGAGTTTTTTGACAAATCCCTCTCTCTCTCTGTCTCCCTCCTCTGCCCAAGAGGGAGGGGGACACCTCCGAGGGAGACACCTCCAAGGGTGACCTTTCAGACACATAATCTCCATATTGACTCATAAAAAATAAGAAGGATATCTTTTTTGAGCACTAGTAATCAACAGCCTCAAAGGGATCAAGTAGCTTGGGAGCCCCCAGGTCAGAGGTAAGGAGGAGCCTCCTCCTGTTCCCGTCTTGGATGTGGCCACCCAATGGGGTGGTGGTTTTCTCTCCCCATGTCCTTGGGGATGAAATGCAAGAAAACTTCCAGGAGTAAACTTGTGCACACCGATGGCACGATTAACCAAGCTGCTGCTCTGACTTAGCAAACAGTAGGTGACTGGGTGTTGCTCATTGTTGCTAGTCTTTGCTAGTGTGTGACGCTAAGACAAAGGAAGCTAAGGTCGCAGGTGAAGTCAATGACTGTTCCACTGCTGAAAACCACCAAAAGAGGCCAATCCAGGGCGGTCGCTGTCATTCTCAGGGGAGCTCTTTTTCTGCCATCTCCATGACATTGCTGAATACAAACCAGGGTGGGAAGATAAGAGCAGGTTTTGTGATAAGCCAGTTTCATTCATTATCCTCAAAACCTCTTTTACAGTGTTTCAGGTGTTTTGGAGCTAGTAAGGGGGAGTCCATTTCTGCTTCATTCTAAAGACTTTTTTCCCCCGTGATGTGATGTGAGGGGATCCCAGCTGTGTTCGTCAGCATTTCATTGCTGTGACAAAATGCCTGAGGAAACAAGTTAAAGGAGAAAAGATTTATTTTTGCTTGTAGACTCGGAGGTTTCTTGGACCTGTCATACACAGTTTAGATTCCTTCACCAAACCTAAAGCTCATTGAGCAGTAGTATATACTGTTCAGCCAAGAAAGTGGTAGTCAGCCATCCGTCAGAAATGTTTTCTGTAGAAACTGTAGACTTGTGGTGAGTTGCAACATCCTGGTGGAGACGTGTGGCAGAACAAAGCGACTCACTTGATGGTGGCCTGGAAGCAGAGAGAGAGAAGAAGGAGCAAGGACAAGAAGGAGTCCCCAAGGACATGACCCCAAGGTCCTACCTCCTGCAGTTTCCACTACCTCCCAGTCATCCGTTAACACTGGATGAACCACTAAGGAATTCAGAGCCCTCATGATTCAATCACAAATGATTCAAGGACAATTGAGTGGCTATTCCCTGGATCTGCCTTTTTCCTAGCCTGGAAGATGTTGGACTCAGAAATCATCCACAGCTTTAACTTCCAGGGAAGAATGGAGACAGGAGGGCTTTCATTGCACCAAAATAACCCCAGTCCCAGAGTGCCGGCCTGTTGCGTAATTATCGTTATCACATGCATGGGCTGACGGAGAGCATTTTTCACATGAGCGAGGCTGGGAAATTAAAGTTTGCACCACTGGCCTTTAACTGCTTTGGGACATCCAGGGATTTCGGCTCACTGAAGGAAAGAAAATATAGATTGAACTTGAAAATATTGGTCACTGTTCGCTTCTCTCACCTTCTTACCCAGCCAGTCGTAAGCATTTGTCCTGCTGAAACAGGGTGCATGTGAGCTGAGTTCTCTCTTTAAACTCAGACTCTTGAATCTGTGCAACTGAAGCACAGGAACATTTCAGTAATACTTCAAACAGCGAATTCCATTCCTTGATATAGAATATTCCAGCCTGTCCTAGAGATTTCAAAGCAGGTAATCAATTCACTCCAAATCTTCAAAAGGAAAGTAATCTCAGCTGTGTTTATTTTGAAACTAGAGTACTCTTTAGGATGAAATGAGCTTTGCCAAGCACAAATTCAGTCTTCTCTTGGTTCCAGGATCCCCTGAGGATACCAAAATCTGTGGATGCTCAAGTCTCACATAAAATGTCCCATGATTAGCCCGGCGCATTGGTGCACACCTGTAATCCCAGCATCTCCGGAGGCTAAGACAGAAGGATCACAAGTTCGAGGCTAGCCTCAGCAACTCAGCAAGGCTCTAAGGAACTTAGTGAGACCCCGTCTCAAAATTTAAAAAAAAAATAAATAAAAGGCCTGGGGATGTGGCTCAGTGGTCAAGTACCCCAGGTTCAATTCCTGGGACCAAAAAATAAATTTAAATTAAAAAAATAAAATAAAATGGCCCATTATCTGCACACAACCTGCACACATTCACCTATATATTTTAAATCATCCCTAGATTACTTACAATACCTAAGCACAATGTCTCTGTTGTACAGATAGCTGTTGTACTATGGTGTTTACAGAATAATGAACAAGAAAAAAAAAGTTTATGTATGTTCAATACAGAGCTTTTTTTTTTCAGATATTTTCCATCTGTGGTTGGTTCTGTCCATTGATGTGGAACCCATAGATAAGGAGGACCAAGTGTACAAGGTCTTCCTATCATCTGCAGTTTAGATTCCCTGGCCACTCCTGTCTCATAGTACAGTATGTCACATTCAGCCAAGAACTCATGGTCAGCAACCAGTCAGGAAGACTTTCAATAGAAAGGAATAGAAAACCCAGCCATACTGATGTATTGTTCTTAGATATCAAGTATCCCAGATGTAAATGGAGCAGTGGCTGTGCATTTCTCTTAGCCTTTCTCTGATGGTCCCAAGATGGCTGCTGTGGTTCCAGCTATCAAGTCTGTATTGAAGATAAGAAGGGGGAAGAAGAGGCTTTGGTGTTGTTCTTAGCACCCTTTCACCTTATATCTCTTTGGTAACAACTAGGTCTGCCTTAACCAACAAATGGCCAGGTTTGGGTGGAGGGTTAGACTTACAATTTTAGATCAATAACTTACAATTTTAGATCAATAACTATTCATCCTCTGGGACTAGAGGTGGGACTTACCTTCCTTGAGATCATTTGCTGCCTAAACCAGGTAGGGTTCTATTCTAAGGCAAGAGGCAGGAGAATGAATGTTAGGTACTTATCCCAAAGACACTTAAGATAGAAAGCATCAGAGACCCACCTATTAGGGTGTATTCTCAACTTGCAGAGCAAGATCCACGAGTCCATGATGGTCACTCAGCCAGGTTCACAACGACAGAAGGAATCTGGAATGTGTGTTCTGTGAGTCTGAAGGCCCCAGGATGATGTTTTATGTCTTCTGTTGATTCTCAAGTTGTGACTTTGGGAGAGAAACCGTGGGCCATGACCTGGAAACTCTCTTCCTGAGCTATTGTGATTAGGACGTCAGAGCAGTGCCCTCCGGAGGTGCACAGAGAGTAGCAACCCAGTCCAAGAAAGAACGATCTTTCACAGGAGAATCAGGCACCCGTTGAAAGTGTTTCCAAATGGAATTCTGGGAATGGGAAGAAACAAACCAAGGTCCTACTCCACAACTGGATCCTCAGAGGGCAGCAATGAGCTGTGGTCAGGAGAGGAAGGTGGAGAAGATGCCCAGCATCCCAGGGAGGAAGAGTAGGAAGGAGGGGAAGGAGACCCATGGGACTTCAGAGACCTGGACATGGATCCAGTCCACCTAACTTGTTTCCTCAGCACCTGGTGTGTGCCACGCTGTTCCAGAGCCGGACACATAACCCAGATTCAAGCCCAGCACTGACCTGAGGCTCTCACAGGCAACAGGGGAGGCAGGTGGCTGACATGTAATTATGGGTTCACTTAGAGATGCTCATGGGGAAAGGGGTAAGTGGGAAAAGAACCCCAAAGAGCATTGATGATCAGACACTTGATCAGACCACAAAGGCCAAGGGAAGATGGCACAGGGACCTCAAAGAGACAAAGACATTCAACACAGGGGAGGCCTCCTGTGAACCCTGATTCCAGAGGCCCACAAAGTTAACTTGAAAAGCCAAAGAAAGCAGGAAACCCCATCAACTGGGCGTCCCTGAAAAATGGCCAGAGGGAACCTGGTTGGAATATTCCAACAGAAGGACTTGTTCTGAGCAAAAATAAACCCAAAAAGTCTCAAAGAGTTCAAAAGAGTATAAATACACCTTTTTAGAAATTGCTGGCGTCAACTCAACCTGTCCGTCACATTTCATGGAAGCTGGTTTATTTTTCAGCGACCTCCAATTGAGTCTCTTAAAATCCATCTTTCTTCTGATTGAATGCTGGGAAAGAAGTGGAACTTTCCCATGAAGTTTACACTACACATACATGTACATTTGTTTCAGGGAATTGACGATGTGAGAGTTAGACGTGAGGCACTTGGAGACATTTGCCATGTGGATTGGCAGTGGGGACACTGAGATGGAGTGGCCCCAACCCTTTGATGAGAAGAGAGGGCAATGATTCAGGCAGAAAGTGGAGGAGATTGGACACCTTGATGCCTTCTCCCAAACCCTGATCACTACTATAGAAATGCAGTAGACAAGTACATCTTTGCAGGGGTGTGGAGGTGTGGTAGCTCACTGGGTGGACATACTTACAATTTATGTGCCCACTCCCCTGTTTAACAGTGATCTGGCCTCTCTCCAACTCCTCACTTTCAGAAATGCCATATTTGTTTTAAAAAATGTATGTCTGTCCTTTACACATGTAGCCAAATATTTATCTACGATCAACTTGTAAACATGGAATTTGAAAAGAAGGATAGCCGTAACCTGGAATTTCCCCCTCAGAGCCTTCTCCAGTCACCTTCTCTTGAAGGCAGAATTACTCCCTGAATTAGCTAATGGACCTTGACAACCAACAGGGAGCTCAGAACACAAGATCCCAGTGTTTTGGTGGGAAGTTACTAAAAAACAAAAGGAAATAAAAGATATATTCAAATTATAAGAAGCTCAAACATTTCATTAGTTTTTTCTTCCTTTCTCTGAATTTTTTTCTTCCTACTCATTCTACCCATGCACACACACTCTCTCTCCCCCTCCCTGCTTTTTTCTTGCGCTCTCTCTCTGTCTCTCTCTCTGTCTCTCTCTCTCTCTCTCTCTCTCTCTCCCTCCCTCTCTCTCTGTCTCTATCTCTATGTGTCTCTCTGTCTCTGTGTGTCTCTGTGTCCCTCTCCTATTTCTCTCTGGCCCCCACCCCTTCTTCCTAGCTCCTACGTATTTAACTACCCCTCAGCCTCCCCATCTATTTATTCCTCTAGTCTCAGTTTGCTCTTTGTAAATGCATCTGAATAATCTCAGTGGGTGATTAGGCCACGGACAGGTTTATACACAGAGGCCTGTGTTCAGCTGTCCAGGAGCTCTTAGGACATACAGGAGAGGAAGGAGCATTGTTTCCCTTTGGGTGGAAAAGAAAGATCATTGAAGACTACTTACAGTGCGGAAAATGTCTATAGACTAGAGACTGTGTGCAGCCCACCTGCATTGCCCCCCTGGCCATTCAGACAGACTCAGATGTATTCTGGGTGGACTGGTGGGCTTCACGGCTGCCTACCCGTGACCACCTTCTTTAACTGTTCTTGTTTTGTGTGCAGGTGGGAGTCTCTGGTCCTCGTGCTGATGTACCTGATCTACATTGTTATCATGAAGTAAGTGAAATACTTCCTTCATTTCCTTTCCAAAACTGTTTCCTACCTCTAGCACAATGTGAGAAGAGGAGTAGGGGAGAGGGCGGGTATCCAATTGGGTTTTCAGTGTCCACTCTCACAGACTCATTGGGCTCTTCTGCAACCTATTGAGAACCTCTGTGCTTCTCATTGGTAATAATAGTGGTAATTCTTCCAACCTATATGTGATGCCAGAATTAAAGCCTGGGTGTTTCACTCAAGAACTTTTCTAGAAACTTTGCTCCTTGAGGATTCGGCAGTCTTGCTTTGGATTGTCTCTTGCATAAGAAAATCTTTCTATGTGCATGGAGGGACAAGGGTCACAGGGAGATGACTGAAACCATGAAGCACATATCTGCAGACTTCCATTACTCCTGTTGTATTCGTCATCGATTTCTGCTATACCAATGCTTAGTGGCTAAAAACCATAAACGTATTTTCTAAGAGTTGGAATCCAGAACTTCCTTAACTGCAGAGTTCTATCTCAGAGTCTCTCATGAGATTGCAGGTGAGATGTTGGCTAGGACTGCCATCGTATACTTGATTTGATGGCAGACCTGCCTTGGGGATGACCCCCACTCACATGGCTAGTGGGCTGAGGCTGGCTGCTGGTTAGAGGGCTTGGTTCCTCACCACGTGAGCTTCTCCTTAGAGCTATTGAGTGACTTCACTCAGAGTGAGTAATACCACAGTGATAAAGAGAGAGAGAACTCTTTCTATAATCCCATCTCAGAAGTCACATGTCATTACTTTTGCCATATTCTTTTTACTAGAACTAAGTCACTAAGTGCAGGCCAAACTCAAGGGCTCTAATTTACCCATTGAAAGGAAGCGTGTTAGAAGATGTGTTGATATATTTTTATTTTTTTAGATAAATGATATCAAAATGCATTACAATTTTTATTACATGTATACAGCACAATTTTTCAGTTCTCTGGTATATAAAGTATATTGACACCAATTCATGTCTTCATACAGGTACTTTGGATAATGATGTCCATCACATTCCACCATCCTTGCTAATCCCCTGCCCACTTCCTTTCCCTCCCACCCCTCCGCCCTATCTAGAATTGATCTATTCCTCCCATGCTCCCCTTCCCTAGATGCCCTTCAGTGAATGATTGCATTAAAAAATGTGGCATATATACACAATGGAATTTTACTCAGCAATAAAAGAGAATAAAATCATGGCATTTGCAGGTAAATGGATGGCGCTGGAGAAAACAATGCTAAGTGAAGTTAGCCAGTCCCCCCAAAAACCAAATGCCGAATGTTTTTCTCTGATATAAGGAGGCTGACTCATGTTGATACATTTTGAAGCCACCATATTATATGTTATTTTCCCTCATGGAATCAGAGTCGTCTTTCGTTTTTATCAAGAAGGATATTGCTGATGTCTCCTGTACTCTAAGTGACATGTAAGCCCCATGGTTTTGAAACTGCTAGCTCATGTTCATGTCACTGAGATGAAGAGCTTATAAATAATGCAGAGCTGTAGCTGCCAGTCCCCTGTGGAAGCTTGTTTCTTTTACTCTAAATTAGCTCCTAGATTCCCCAGCGTGTGTAACTACAGAACTGACCACCTTCTCAAGGTACAAGAAAACAGAGAACTATCAGAAATTTGCAGTTTGGACACATCAGGCAGCAGTCTGACTTGACGTGTTAGGTTTTTCTTTCTGGTAAGGCCTGGCAAGAGTTAATTCTGGCCACCAGTGACAGAGACCTGATAGGAGAAACCAGTATGTCCACGGCAAATATCACAGCAACCTCAATGTAGAAACTAGCCTGGTTGGTGTTCAGGTTAGTCTGTAAGTACTCTGCTCCCCATCTCAATATGGCGTCCAACTTTTGCCAGAAAGACTGTCTAATGGACAATGTGGAGCCAATATCTGAGTTTCCTGACTGAATATGAGATTTCTAGAGTAGGACCTCACTCCAACATATCCTTGTATGCAGTTACCAGGAGGCGACGGAAGAAGAAACCAAAAGTCACACACCATAGAACGAAACATCTTCCAGAGTTGGCCCAAAGGCTTTCCAGAGTTTCTAGTCTCCAAAGGAGAAGGCTTTAAAGATGGGAACCACCATTTTACTCCTGTTTACCTCAAGTAACAAAACCACGCAGGGCATCGATGGCGCAGTGGAGAGGCCTCAAACAACACGTACAGACTCCTTCAGTGTTCTCTATTTAATCATTACACCTTCTTTAAAAAAAAAGAGAGAAAACTTTTCGAACCTCTAAGTTTGAGTTCTCAAAGACTCAAGTATTCTCTTCTTCCCTTTTGAGAAGGGGAATTTGCCATTTTTTTAGGAAGAATCCATAGGATGTCTGCTGGATACCCAACATTGACCTTGGACTTGAATCTGAATTTTGATGAAAGTATGTCCCATCGTGAATTCACTAGGGACTTTCCAGAATGAGGTGGGCCTCAAGTACATGGTGGTTCTAATAAGGGAAGGGAAGTTAACAACTTTTGCTCAAATGACTTCCAAGGGCACTGGATCCCTTTTCTGAGCCATTATAAAAGCCCATGTGCTGTTGCCTGGGCATGCAGACCTTTAAGCAAACGCATCCTTTCCTCTTCCTCCAAATCATAGCAAATGCGGAAGCTAACGAGGTGTATTTCTGCTGAGGCTTCAGCTTTGCCAACGTTCCAGCTGTTCCACTCCAGCAGGATACAAATAAAAGAGCCGATGGAAGCTACCGTGCTCGTGGAATTTTCTGCATAAATTCTGGTCCCGAGTTCTAAAATGAAAACTCTGCTCTTTAGCCATCCCCCTCTGCAATCAGAGACTTTAATCATTGGGTTTTATAAAATCTGATTTATAAAATTGCATGCTTCGCAATAAAATAGCTTCAGGGTGCAAGCACAAAATTTAAAACATTCAATTAAAAATATAAAACCGAGCAACTGTAATAAAAGAAATAAAGCTGCCTCCTGGGTAGATGGCTTTTTAAAATGACTTTATACATTCTTTCTGAAGGTCCAAAAGCAATTTTGGATTGGCCAGATAGGTAGAAACCTGAAGGGGAAATGTGTCCTACGTGGCCTTGGCAAGGATTGTTTCAGTACATATTGTACACTGCTTTGGGATGTGTTCCCCAATGGGGCAGAATGTTCTGGTGGGTGAGAACAAGTGCTTCACATGCAGCCCTGGCAGCAGGCCTCACCCTTTTCAGTCATTAGCTATTCTGTTATTTTGAATCTCAGTTTTCCCTTCTGCAAAGCAGGAATAATAGTTCCTACCTCATAGGTTTTTTTTTTTTTTTTAATAAGGATGGAGTGTGGCAGCTCAGTTATTAACCCAATATCTGGTTTCAAGAAAGCCCTCATTGTATGGTTTTGCTATTCTGTTATCCAAACCTTGATAAATGCATGATATGCAGTTATACTTTAAAATACTCATGCAAGTCAGTATTTATATGGGGACAATGATTTCTGAGTCAAGATGGCAGGAGCCCTGTCTATCTCCCTGTTGTAGGGCATTCTGGTCAAATCCAGAAGGTGGGGAAATCTTTTCAGTAAAGAGAAGGTTGAATGTACACAAAAGTCAACAGAATAGTAAGACAAATTCCATGTGCTCTCCACTGACCCAACAACCCCCTACCCACACTGTGTGTTTCCCACCTCCCCGCCACATAACTTTGAAACCCCATGGTCCAAAAACACTTTTAGTATATTTTTCTAGAAGGACTTATTTTTTTAACATAGCCATAGTATTACTATCATACCTAAAATTAGTGCTCATTTCTTAATATCATAAAATATCCAATCCGTGTTCAAATTTCCAATGGTCTCATAAATGTCAGAATTTACAGTTTTCATTTAGTCTCATAAATATCATAAACATTTTTTAAATCAGAATCCAAATGAATTCTACTCATTGTAATTGGTTGTACCATGTTTTAGATCTCTTTTCATCTACATAAACTCTCCCTTGTGTGTGTGTGTGTGTGTGTGTGTGTGTGTGTGTGTATTTGTGTGTGTGCATACATTTCCTTGTGATTTTTTTTCTTTGACAAAGTTTGGTTATCTGACCTGCAGAGATTGCCATGGTTTAGAAATTGATAATTACATCTTGTGGTTTAGTGTAATCTGTTCATTTGGCCTCTGTGTTTCCTGTATGTCAGTGTTTGATCCAATTCAGGGCAAATTATGTTCCAAGTCGGTGGGGAGTTCCTCCATCAGGAGGCACATCAATGTTGCTTCTGTTTGTGATGCCCACTCTCTGGATTGGTGTCTTAGTGAGGATTGTTAAACACTGATGTTCTAACTCTGGCCCCACCTCTTCCAGGATCAGCCTGTTCACTTCCCTTTACACAGCCAACATCCATCACTTGTGACTAGTCTTCTGTTCTCCTCGTGTAATGTAGGAACAACCACTGGGGACTGCAGGAATGGGCTCATGGAAGAGGAGGCCCAGCCACCCAGGGCCCCTCTGTCTTTACCCTGACGACTCTCAGGTTCCCATAGGCAACCCACTCCCAAGGGGCATAGATTGAAGAACCAGGTACAAGTGACCCAGAGGACCTCATGTCCGTCTGTAGCAACAAAAGGGATGTGAATAGGAGGGGAAACAGGTTGAGGGGTCTGCCAGCTGGCCATTTAGAGTTGCTACACTTGGCTGCTGTTCCTATGTGAGGCCAGAGGTCAAGAGACTCTCAGTGGGTTGTTCCATGGCCAATAGTCCATGGAGCCTTTAGATCTTTGAGACAGGGAAAGAGCAGTAGTGACTCAAAGTTCTCTGGAAACCCTGCCCAACTTTGCTTATACATTTTGCTCATAAGTTTTCATGAACTTTGTAGGATTACTGTATGGTAATCCTCTAATACACAAGATAGAGGGACCAGAACATTTACCTGCCAAAAGCTTCCTGGGAGCTTATGTGAACCTCTTTCCTTCCAGCACAGGTCTGCTGGAGCATGCGAGAAACACTGCACAATGTTTTCACTCCATCATTCTGGAGAATTGTATAGCCCTGAATTTTTTCATAAAGCCAATATCTCATTGCACAATAGTAATAGAGTCACAGGATGAAACCTGTGGCCACAGGAAACCAAACACAGACGCCCAGGTGGCCAACCAACCTGTAACACATAGACCCTGATGTCCAGCCATTAGGTGACAGTAGGGGCAGGACCCCTCACCTTATCCCATAAAGCAAAAGCCCTGGGGACATGGCCAAAGGGGGGAAGTGGACTCTGACTGCCCTCTGGGCCTTATCACAGTCTTCCCATTACACACCGGGTAAGGGAGCTCCATCCCAGAGGTCTTACCATTGACTTTGAAGAGGTGGTAAAGGAAGCAGAGTGCCATTGTTGATGTGTAGGATGGCGGTTTGACTTTCCCTTGAAGTACTTCTTTCATCTGAGACAGGAAACAAGCTTCATATTCTGAGGTGAAATGGGGGAAGAAATAAGAACAATCGTAACCAGAGGCATTGGACGGGAGCATCTACACGGGAGCTCAGAGAGCACTTAGGGAACGCTGGGGAATGGGACAAGGCTGATGGACAGCTTCCATTTACTCTTTTGCTCAGATATAATGCCTGCATACATCAGTGCTTCGAAAGGAGGACAAAAGGTGCTGGGAACATGGTCAATGGGTTGGCCAACAATGCCGAAATTGACGACAGCAGCAATTGCGACGCAACTGTGGTGCTACTTAAGAAAGGTAAGCAGCAGGTCAGGTGCCCAAGAAGCCCCTCTGCCCTCTCTCCTAGCCACACCCAGGGGGAAAGTCCTGGCTGTCCTTGAGGGAGCACTGTTCCAAGAGAGAGGACAGGAAACAGCAATTTGAGTCCTCCCACCTGACCTTTGGTGGCATCACAGGACTGTCTCATACTTGGCCATGAGCCAACTCACCAAGCCCCATGGAGAGCCTTAAGGAATACATTCTCTGTGGAGGTGATACAGGGAAATGAGGACAAGATGGCCAGTGAGAGAAGACCAAAGGTTCCAAGCTATTGGTTCTATCCTATTTGGGCCATGTGACCATGAAGCGAGTTACTTAATCTCTCTGAGCCTCACTCTTTTCTTTGGGAAATGGAAATTATTTTTGTAATGAAGAAAGCTGACCAAGTATATAAATGAGTTCAGTGCCAGGCTCCATAAATGACTGATGCTCTTAGTATATTACTACGTCTATGCAGATTCACTTTCAGGTCACATTAACTCAGTTTCCAAATTGCCAAAGGAAAATAACTTTTCTTTTCAGAGTAATTCTTATATTCAATCTATTCCCACAAAGCAGTTGATATACGAAGGGAAACGATGTGTTGGACTTTGATAAATAATATTTTTTTCATGAAGAAACACAGAAAATTGTCAATTAATTTTCCTGAACTATATTTCATTTCTCATTTAAATTTTTTTTAAATCCCTTGAAATATGTCCCATATGGTTGCTTGGCAGGAATAAAAGCAAAAAAAAAAAAAAGAAATTAGAAAATATTAGGTTATTTTCAAATATATCTCTGATTCTGGGTAATTATTGAAGTTTTAAAAATAAAATATTCAGTGTATTTTTTAATGTTTAACAACAATAAAACTTAAGTGTTATTTAGTACCATTCCATGCAAGGATATTATTTACTTTCTTCTGGGTAGTTTACATCCATAAAAGGAATACCCTAGGGGACTGCAGAGAGCTACCTAAAGTGAATCAGTGTTTCCAGAGATCATCTCATGGTTTAGTAGCCTGGAAAACAGCAGCCAGCACTGAGAGGCTGGGGCAGGCCCCCCCTGAGCCATGTGCACCTGTTGCTCATTCAGCCAGAGGGGCTGGGCCTTGGCAGAAGAATTTTTTTTTTCAGGCCTCCCACCAGGACCTATACCTGCCCCACTCTGAATATCAGTTCCCTGCAGTAGACAGCTCCCCCATAGCCCATTCCCCACAATCAGCTCTGCTCATAGGCTGGGCTGCAGGAGGTGTACAGTTCCTCACCATGACCTCCCTGGGCCCTAAAGTCAGTACTCAGCACTTCATAGCTCAATATAAATGTCATTGTGACTTGAAGGGTAGACAGGATTACTAAAGGTTAGTGGGATGTTTCTGGTACCCCACATCTAAATGGTAGGAAAAGAATCCTCTGAGGACAGGAAGGAATTCTCTTATGTTATCATGTTTTTCTTACCATAGTGATGAATGACATTTGATTTGTTTCAAGTCATTTCAAGTGAGCTTTTAATAAGACCCATGGAGGGGCTGGGGTCATGGCTCAGTGGGTAGAGCACTTGCCCACCATGCGCGAGGCACTGGGTTTGATCTCCAACACCACATAAAAGAATAAATAAATAAATAAATAGATAGATAGATAGATAAACAAACAAAATAAAGGGATTGTATCCATCTACAACAAAAGTATTTAAAAAAAATAATAAGACCCATGGAAAGGAGATTTTGACTCTTCTTCAAATTTGACTTACTACAAACTTCCCTGGATACATGAGATGGAGGAGGGGGAAGGAAGGGGTGAGGGATAGAAAGAGGGAATAAGGATAAAGAGGTGGAAGGTGGGTGGGTGGTAGAAGGTACGTGAATGGGTGGATGAATGGATTATGGATGGAAGGTAGGTGGGTGGATGGATGGATGGAAGGTAGGTGTGTGGATGGATGGAAGGTAGGTGGGTGGATGGATGGAAGGTAGGTGTGTGGATGGATGGAAGGTAGGTGGGTGGATGGATGGAAGGTAGGTGGGTGGATGGATGGATGGAAGGATGGATGGGAGCAAACAAGTAAACAAGTGAGGGAGAAAGGAACGAGGAGAAGGGGATGAAGAATTAATGAATGCCTCTTTCCTGCTCCTGGCCTCGGTGCTATTTCATCTTGTCGTTTCCCTAGCCAATTTCCACCGCAAAGCGTCAGTGATCATGGTGGACGAGTTGCTGTCAGCCTACCCGCACCAGCTTTCTTTCTCTGAGGCGGGCCTTCGAATCATGATCACAAGCCACTTTCCCCCCAAGACTCGGCTCTCCATGGCTAGTCGAATGCTGATCAATGAGGTATCTGGGGAAGCACCGCGCACATACCACTGGACAGGGGTGGGACACTGAGGGAAGGAAAGTTCCCTAATGTGAAAGAAGGGATCAAACCAAGGTCTACCCCAATAATATCCCTCAGCCCTTCCCCAGCATCTCTGCCCTCTGGTCAGCAGTGTATCCTGGTCCTCGCTCTTCCCCCACCTGTTGAAAGACATCATCTAGCTCCCAGTTGTATAGAAACACTTGCCTGTCTCTGTCTTCCTACCTTTCTCTTTTATTCTTCATTCTGGTAAAGCCCCTTGATGTAAATTCACACAGAATTAAATGCTATGTAATCCAAAGTCTCTGATCTAATTTTCCTTTCTCTGTAGTAGCAGCCTTATTGATATAGTCCAAACAGAGTTGTGTGGCTTTCTCACATGGAAATACAGCAACCCAGAGAAGAAAGATAACACCACAGTGCACATAGTTCCACTGAGTCATACAGTGTTAATATTTCCTCTGAGAAGGAGGTTGTCTGAATGGATTATTATTTTGAGGAATCGCTTAATACTCCAGAGTCTTCTGCAAACATCTCCTCGTTGGGGCCTGGAGGAACACCCCGTAAATTGTGTTCTGGGTGTAAGTTACTTGCAATCCCTCTGACCATGGAAAATGTGTCACTTTCTTTCCAGAGACAAAGACTGATAAACAGCAGAGCTTATGCCAATGGGGAGTCGGAGGTGGCCATTAAAATCCCAATTAAGCACACCGTGGAGAACGGAACAGGGCCCAGCAGTGCCCCCGACAGGGGTGCCAACGGGACTCGGAGGGACGATGGTGTCGCCGAGGCTGGCAATGAGACAGAGAATGAGAATGAGGACAATGAAAACAACGAGAATGACGAGGAGGAAGAAGAGGAGGAGGAGGAGGAAGAAGGACCCTACACACCCTTCGATCCCCCCTGTAAGAGGTCCTGCGTCTAGGCTGGGTGGGGAGCTCTTTTGAGACCACTGAGTGGATACCCTTGACTTGGATGATCTTTTTACTATGCAATTCAAAGAAAAGTCTCTATGTGAACATAAAAATATTTATCTGAAGTTTCTAGAGTGGGCAGGACTCTGTTTTAGATGGTTCAGAACTGGCGAGATAGTGGCACATAATCAGGGGCTGAAATTTGAGTTCTTTGACTAAGTGCATTTGGTGGGTGGAAGTTCTCTCTTTGCTACTCTGCAAGGCCTGTTGGTGCTAAACAGTAAAGACACATGGTCAATGTTGGCAAAGCAGCCTGTGCTCAGGGCAGAGGCCCATTGATCCCCTCCACCCATCCCATTACAGTTGGTTGGAACTGTCCTACCAAGGTCAGCTGTGTGCATACCCAGTTCCCTTTGTTCTCACTTCCTGTCCCTTACCCCTAATCAGGTCCCCCACTCCCACAACCAGATTTCTGCACAGGGGGAGTCATAGGAGTTGCAGACCTGGGAAAAAGCTGGTATGCGTGTCCTTACTCAGTGAGCTGGCCAAAGACTCTCTGACCTTGAAACAGGAGAGACAAAGCCTATAAATGCTTTCAGGACCTCACCAAGCTGTGTCCTTCTCTGGCTGCTGAACGTGAATGTTCCAACAACCTTTTCCCATGTCCCACCTATTAGCAGAACTGGTAGATAAAACTCAAAGCATATGGCTACTTTGGTAAACCTTCTAGAAGCTTCTGATTATTTCAGCAAAGAGTATACTAGTCCAATTCACATTCACTGTCAAGTGTATGAGACTTAATGAGTGCTACTTCTCCAGGATATTTTTTTTATTTGCATGAGGGCTTTCTGAAGATGAGCTGATTGATCCAATCAAAAACCCATTTAGTGGCAAAACATGGGTGACAAGTGTGAGAATCCTGTGTTGTCTTCAGATGCAAGGTCTTGCTATGCTCTATGTTCCTTTGAAGCCAGGGGACAGAAAGTAAAACAGACCAGTCCTAAGATATCTAAGGGATCCTAAGATAGCAGCTTTGTTAAGAGCTTACCAAAACTAATTAGAAAATATCCATGTTGATGCCTGTCCTCCAGCCAAATTCCCTAACTATGCAGCCAAAGTTAAATTACTGCTTGTGTAGTAGGTTATCTTAATAGAAAAAAAAAAGTATACAGTAGTTTCCCCCTTATCTGTGGTTTTCCTTTCTGTGGTTTCAGTTACCCTATGTCAACTGTGGTCAACCATGATTAACCACGGACTAAAAATATTAAATTGGAAAGTCAAAGAAACAAGCGTTTCATAAGTTTGAAATCTAATACCATTCTGAGTAACATGATGAAATTTCACATCATCTTGCTTTATCTCACCTGGGATGTGATCATCCCTGTGTCCAATATTTCCATGCTGTATACACTACCCTCGCATTAGCCACTTAATAGCCACTGTGACTGTCTTGGTATCACAGTGCTTATGTTTAAGTCATTCTTATTTTACATGATAAGGACCCTGAAGTGCAAGCGCAGTGATGCTGGTAATTTTATTGCAGTATATTGTTATAAATATTATATTTTATTATTAGGTACTGCTATTAATCACTGTGCCTAATTTATAAATTGAGCCTTATCATAGGTGTGTGAATGTATAGGAAAAAACACTATACATTGGGGTGGCACTACCCAGGGTTTCAGGCATCCACTGGGGTCTTGAACAGTCCCTGTGGATAAGGGGAGCTACTACACTGGCTCTTAGTCCATTTGCCACCTTTGGATCTGTTTCTTGGCAACCTTCTTCCCAACCAGACCAGAATCATCTTAAAGAGTGAGTAAGCAAACACTTCATTCCTCCCTTGCATGCCTTAATTTTTGCTTCCTATTGGTGTATAACAAATCACTGCAAATTTATCAGCGTAAAACAACACCCCTTGGTCAGCTCATGGTTCTGTAGGTCAGAAGTACAGCTGGGATCTCAGAGCCTCACAAGGCCATAGTCAAGGTGTGGACAGGCTGCGTTTTCAGAGTCCCTGGAAAGAATCACTCCCAGGCACATGGGTTCGTGTTAGTGGCAGAATTTTGTTCCTGTGGCTACACGTTGGGCCTGCTGACTGCTCCCAGAGGCCCTGTGAGTCCCCCTTCCACAGCCCCTCCATCTTCAACTGCATGCAGCAGTCCTCACATTTCCAACCGCTCTGGCTTCCCCTTCTGCTTTTGAGGGCAGGTGTGATTAGATCAGGCCACGGTCTAGTCCCTCTACCTGAAGGTCAGCTGTGCCATATGAACACAGCACTGTCATCAGACCATAGTTCATCCACCCACAAGTTCTGAGGACGAGGGTCCAGTAGCTGAGGCCTCAAGTCACAAATTCTGCCTACCACATCCTAATGTCCAGAGGCCATCACTAACTGACCATAATCAAGCTAAAAAAAATAAATGCTTATTTTGCTAAACGTTTTCACTGATTAAAGAAACAGTAGCACCAATTGAAAAATTTGTAAGTGGCCAAGCACTATGTTGGCACTGGGGAAGCCCAAAACCCCGACATGCACCCTCCGGGCAGACAGTGAGAGATACCCAGGGGAAGTGAGACAGTCAGGCTCCCATGCCTGGGCCTCATTACTTGGGGGGGACAAAGTCCCCCTCCCATCATATTTTCCATATTTCTATGCTGGCCGGAGTTATTCCAGATGTGAATATGGCGTTTCAAGGTACAGTCATGCATCACCTAACAAAAGAGATTCACGCTGGGAATCATATCTTTCAGTGGTTTCATCATTGTGCAAACATCATAGAGTGTACTCATGCAAACTAAGATGGCTACGACATAATTAGATCATATCACTTTATGGATCACCACCATGTAAGCAGTTCATCGTTGGCCAAAACATCATTATGTGACACATGACTGCACTTGGACCTCCTGTTCACTGCCCCTCTGTATCTCTGTGATTATGTGGCAGATGACAGAGGTCTTGGGCCTTCAGCCACCTGTTTCTGGTGCCTTGTGTGTTAGGAGACCTGACTGCAGGTGTCCTTTTCACTCCCCAAATGGTCCTATGTCTGGGGCGTAGAAACCTCATGCCAGGCATCCGGGTTCTCACCGGTTCTTCTAGGTGGGCATCCTTGGTAAGTTGCAGACCCTAATTCAGGTAATTTGGAGCGATGCCTGAGAATCTGGATTTCTAAGGAGCCCCTCAGTTGGTGGCGATACTGCTGGTCTGTGGGCCACACTTGGAGCAGCAAAAAACTGGGGACCTAGTGTGACGCAGTGAACTTCAGGACTCTCCTAGGACAGGATATCCTAAATCAGAGCCAGGATCTGTCTCTGAAATGAAGGGGCTTACCTTTTGACTTCGGTTCCTCTCCTCCAGCTCCTGAGAAACCCCACACCTGGACTCAGGAGCTCCATTTTAAGACAAAGGGGCTGCCCAAGGGTTCTTCCCTGGGGTAGGCAGGCAGGCAGTGGCTCAGTGGTAAGAAGGCCAGAGCATGCCTCAGGCCAGCAGAAGGCATCAACATGCAGGGGAGAGTCAGTCCAGGGAATCTCCTGAGCTTAGTTCTTTTGACTAAAAAAGGTCCATCTACTCCAGGAGGAAATTTTTCCTTCCATGGTAATCCTTCTAGGTGGCATGGGCCACCCAGCTACAGTGCTGGCTTCTCTCCAAGACTTGACTATAATATGCGTAATTAACAAGCAAGTAGTTATTTGGGAATATGTAAATATAAACGTGTATGACATGCGTATAATGTACATAGGAATGCATATATGAATAGATTATATATGCACACAGAGAATACAATATATGATCGACATATATCCATGGAACATGTACATGTATATTGCTTACATATAATATATTGTATAGTAGATATATGAAACAGATACAGGTATTAATGTGTCATATGTTTATAAATACACATACTGTATATATAGGCTTTATGCATATAATATTCATATATATCAGATACACCTATATATGGTATGTGTACATACTTATACATATCCACATATTCTTATTTCCTGAGTGAAGGGTCTTACCTTGTGAAGAGAGTCTTACATTGGCAGATAGAAATGTGTATGTAGATTTTTTTCTATATTTTCCATTTTAGTACCCAATTTTTACTGTCTGTTATAGTCAGAATAAGTGTATATGTTAGAAACAAGACCTTTTACTCCTTAAAGCCAGGTTCTCTACTCAACACTATAATTCACTTTCCTTGCTTCGTCTCCCTGCTGCCGGCTGACTTTCGTGAAATCACATAAACACCAGCACATCAGCTCTGTGGAAGGGAATTTTGTTTTCCTAATTTGGTGCTTTGTCCCCAGTGCCTGGAGCAGTGCCTGGCGCCAAGTGACATAGAGGGCATTCAATTAATATTTGCCAAGTGAACATATAAATCTCTTCCTTGGGGGCTCTGTTTGGACCAAAGGGTAATGGAACAAAAGATGAAATAATGTTCAGAAATACTGATGATTCAAAGAGGAGAAGAAACTATTTTTACCCCCCTTATTCATAAATGGACATTAAGATGAGCTAAAATGTGGACAATCCTGTTTGGCCTTCCCTCCTCCTCAAAAGCATTTAAGAAGCACCTTTCCACACCACTGGTTTGCTCAAGGAGTCATATTTGTTATATACGCTTCAAGGCATATCTCAGATAGTACAGAATTTCTACCTTTAAGGTTGTCATTGCAAAAAAAAAAAAAAGCTATCCTTGTAAAGAAAGCATCTGTATCATTTTACTCTCAGTAAACTGTGAGTTCCAGAGACAACATCCTCTTTGTGTGGGTCAAAATATTTGAAAGCAGCTGAGGGGAAAAAACTCAAGAACTCACTCGCACTAACGCATCCTGCTTGCAATTTTACCTAATTAATATCAGTTTCCAATATCAGTTTCCAAGCTCGGATTTCTTTGTTCTTTTTTATTATTATTTTTATTATTTTCTGAAAACTGTTAAGGAACCTAAATGAGGTCAGTTCTCTTCGTACTTATCAGTTTCTTTGTGGTCTTTGATTGGCTTTACATTTCAAACCAAACCAAGGTTCTTTTCTTGCAAGGGCACCAGCCACATGGGAGGCCAAGAAGGGGATCCTAAGAGCTATCTGTGCATAAATGCCTTAGCTCTCCATTGCAGGATTAAGAAACTGCAGAATTTCCAAATGCATTTGAGATCCAAAGGTCTGGTTTTATTCTGGATTCTGCAGCATTTGAAAGCCACTCACAAGACAGCTCTCATGACTTCTTCTGTCTTTGTAAAATCCAGGTGCACCTGGTCTCAGAGATCTCATCTTCTGCTTGACCATCTCCAAGATTTAAATCTAACAAGATACATATTGGTTGATGGGAAAATAAACATCTCCCTTCTTAACTTTTTTTCCTCCTTTCTTTAATCTGTTCTTGTTAATGAGACACCCTTAGATTCTCCAAAACAAATAGTTTCCTTTGCTCTTCTAATTAGGTTGTTCATAGCAATATCATTACTATTAATATTCATTGAGCTTGTGATCTTCTCTACACTGTTTATGGCTTTCAAAATAAACCAATTAACAAGTTAGAGAAGACTCCTTTCTCATAGAGTTTGTATTGTCCTTTTGGGGAATCTGGAAATGCATGAAGAAACAAATAAATCTGGTAATTTCCTATAGGAAACATTTACTATGATGGAGATCCTCCAAGTGGGTGGTAGAAAATAGGAGGGGAATGGTGAGGGTCTTATTTATTTTGGGTTACCTGAAGGGGTCTGGTGACAGGTTTTAAGTAGTAAGGTGACCTGCACATCAAAGCATACTCAGCCACAAGAAGATCCAGGCAAAGGGAAACACAAGTGCAAAGGCCCTGAGGCGGAAGAGGGCTTGGAGTATCTGAAGACTGAAAGAAAGCCAAAGAGGGGGAGCGTACAAGTAGGGAAACCTGTTGGCAAAGGCCAAATCAGACAAAGCCTTATACTCCTCAGTAGGGAGGCATAGATTTACTCTGTGGGTAATTAAAGCCAGGGGAAATTTCTAGAACGATTTGCTTTCTGAACTTTCCCTCTGACTCCAAGTGGCAAACAAATGGACAGGTATTGGACTAGGAAGTTCCCTTAGGTGTTTAGCCAGGCCACAGGTAAGCCACCTGGCCCAAGGGAAGGTTGTGGGGATGGTGGAATACCCTGGGCTGGTTGCTAGGGCTGGCCATGGGGTAAAAGAAAGGGAAGGATCAAGAATGACTCAGGATTTGAAAGCAACTTGAAAATTCTCTTGTCTCAGCCCCTGACCCACAATCACATGATTTAATTCTCCCAGCAACATGGTGAGCTCGGCGTTACTGTGTCCACATGTCAGAGACCAGAAAACCAGGGGATTTAAATAACTCCGCTCTGAGGCCAAAAAGTGAGTCCAGACGGTAGTGCTGTCAGATGAGGGAGGCACACTGACCCCTAGAGGCCGTTCTGCCTCGGCCATCAGAGGGAGGCTGGGGCTGCCAGCAATGTCGTTAGGTCACCTTTCTACGCAGTTGTAAGAAACTATTCAAAGGCTAGTGAGAGATACTGTGAAATAGGCCTGGATGTTGGTTTAAAAATATGAAATGGGGCTGGGGATGTGGATGATCGAGCACATGCCTAGTATACACAAGGCTCTGGCTTCAATCTCCAACACTGTAAAAAGAAAAGAAAAAAAAAGAGAAGAGAAATTTTATTAAACCTTTTATTGCCACCTGCAACAGTACATGCCTATAACCCCACCAACTGGGGAGGCTGAGGAAGGAAGAACAGAAGTTTGAGGCCACCCTGGGCAACTTATTGAGACCCTGTCTGAAAATTAAATAATAAAAAGAACTGGGGATGTAGGGAGGTAGCTCAATGGTAGAAAAGCCCTGGGTTCAATTCCCAGTTCAAATAAATAAATAAATAACTTTTAATCATTGTTCAAATAGTATCATAAAAATTACCTCCTTAACTCTAGTGGGAATATAAAGTAGTTCAATCATTTTGGAAAACTTTTTGTTTGGAAGTTTCTTAAAAAGTAAACACCCACATCACGACTCAGCAATTTCCGCCCTAGGTCTTCATCCAAGAGAAAGGTAACTGTGCCCATCAAAAGGCTTGTAGAAAGAGGTTCCTAGCCACTTTAGTTGTAATATCCCCAAACTGGCAACAACCCAAATACGCATCCACAGGAGAGTGGATGATCAAATTGTAATATATTTACAGGATAGAATACTACACAGCAAGTAAAAGAAAGACTTCGTGATACATGAAAGAATCTCAAAAAAACTTGTTGAATAAAAGAAGGTAACATAAACATATTAGATGATTTGATGCATCTTGAAGTTTGAGAACAGGAAAGACTGATCTTGGTGGTAAGGGTGAGGACTGATTAGAAACAGGCACAGAGAACTTTCTGGAAGACAGCAATGTTCCATATCTCCACTGAAGTAGAGAGTTATGTAGACGTATAAATTTCTTTCTTGCATTTATGTAGCTGTATACATATTTCTTCCAGAGTTGAATTCATATTTCAGCAGGAATGTAATATGGATATATTTATTGAGACGATATCAAATTTATCAAAGGATAGATTATATGAGGAACTCATGGCATTACAGTCACCTGAATAAGCACACCCGGCGTCTCGGATACTCAAAGCGCTCAGGCAGCACAGAGATGGCAGAAGTAGATCACCTCTGGGAGATCCATCATCTGTCCCTACCAACAAGTAGTTACTGAACCAAAAAGCAGTTATTCATTTACAAACCCTCATCAGCTTGGGATATAAATGTTGAGAGATTCCACCAGATGGTGTTGTCTCCGAGGACACCTCATAATTTGAAAAAATTGAGTTACCACACCACATGGAGAACAGACACACACTGGTGGTCTCTGCCCAGCCCACACTGCACACCCCTACACACACTCCACCCCTGGTGCGTCCTGAGTACCTTCCTCATCTTTTCCTACCTGGCTCATGTGTCGAGCCATCCTGCCAGCCTGGTATCACTCAGATGGGACTCACCCTGTCACTTCCAAAATCTAACTAGCAGGTGGCCAGTAGGTGACTATTTTTAAATTCTGTTCGGCTTTGTGTGTCAGGCATTGCTGGTGATGGGAAGCCATTGGGGTAAAGTTTTAGGTAAAGAGCAATACAAGGAGGGTTAGGACTGGGGAAAGCCAGAACTGGGACTGCAGAACAAAGAAGCTAACCCATTTGTGTTGACCTTTTTTTCCGTTTTTCCAGCTGGAAAACTGGAAACAGTGAAATGGGCATTTACCTGGCCACTGAGTTTCGTCTTATACTTCACTGTCCCCAATTGCAACAAGCCCCGCTGGGAAAAGTGGTTTATGGTGACATTTGCTTCTTCCACGTTATGGATTGCAGCCTTCTCCTACATGATGGTGTGGATGGTGAGTCTATAAGGGACATCATGACATTGCTAGGTCTCTTTAGAAAGAAAAGTAAATTGGTCTGAAGGTGAATCAGGATTGGGGTTTTCATTCCCATAATTGCATCAACCCTCTAATGCTATAATGAGCTGTGTAACAAACTACCCCTAAACCTGTGGTTTAGAATCACAAGCGTGCATTCTGCTTAACACATCTTCAGTTTGACAGTGATTTGATTAATCTTAGCTGGGACTGATTATGATTTATCCAGAAGCTTAAGTCTGTGTCTGCCTCCTATAGTTGTTGATTTTCTTTGAATCCGTGGCTACTTGGGGGAATGTTGCTGTCTTGGTATATCATTGGAATACTAGAAGGCATATGGAAACACTAGATGCCTCCTAAGATCTTCCCTAGGGACTGACTTACCTTACCTTGTGTCTACCAATATTCCATTGGCCAAGCCCAGTGTCAATGGAGCTGGGAAAATATACCCCATCTACTTTGGTGGAAAAGCAACAGAGTCACAAGCAAAGCATATAGAGCAAATATGAAAGAATTGGGAATGGATGCTCACTTTAACCGCTCCCCCATTAACCCTAATCTTAGTTTCTTCAACCAGATAGTAAGGTCATTCTGAGGCTAAAATAATGACTCAGTGATTAGCATGCATTATGAGGCTATGACTCAAAAGAGTTCTGCCTCAAAGTCTTTTAAGAAACCCAGACATAGGTACACATTTGTAATCACAGCAGCAGCTCAGGAGGCCAAGGCAGGAGGATCACAATTTCAAAGGCAGCCTCAGCAACTTAGCGAGGCTCTAAGCAACTTAGTGAACCCTGTCTCAAAATAAAACATAAAAAAAAAGGAGTGAGGATGTTGCTCAGTGGCTCGGTGTCCCTGGGTTCAATTCCTGCTTTCAAAAGACAGAAACCCAAACATCCAGAATGTATTGCTCACTTTTGACTACACTTTTAAATGGGAGAGCAAGCCTAACTGATCAAAACTGGAGTTGCACAGAAATCAAAGCCATGACAAATATATGTAAATCCAAATTAACCTTGCTTGAGCATTGGACAAAAGTGTTACATAAATCTAGGCGAATTAAACTCAAACGGTAAAAACAAGTTTCAAAAAGGTCATTTTGAAGGCAAATTTGTAAGTGTGGGTTTTAGTCAACTTCTTTCATCACCAAAATGCCTGACAAGAACCACTCAGAAGAGGAAGAGCTATTTGGGGCTCATGGTTTCAGAGGTCTCAGTCCATAGATGGCTGACACCATTGCCCTGGGCCTAAGGTGACCCAGCACATTATGGTGGAAGGGCCCAGAGGAGGGAAGCTGCTTAGCTCATGGCAAGGTCAGGAAGCAGAGAGAGAGGAAGGAAGAGGTCAGAACAGAAGAAGGAAGAAGACACAGGGAAGATATAACGTTCCAGCACTCACCGCTGGTGAACCACCTCCTCCAGCCAGCTGCCTAGAGTTACCACCCAGTCATTCCAGCTGGGATGGACTGATTAAGTTACAGCTCTCACAATCCAGTCACTTTATCTCTGAATATTTCTGCATTAGCACGGGAGATTAGGGGGAGACGCCTCACAGCCAAACCATAACAGCCTGACACAGTGAAGTCCTACCTATCTATCCTTTGCCTCAACCTCATAGACACTAAGAATCCTTTTAACTAAGATCTTATAACCAGAGAGTTCTACTTATCCCATGTTTGTTAACATTTCCACTGGGCATAGTCACCGAACGCCCCCTCTGACTGGATTTGGGGGCACAGTGGCTGCTGTCCATGATCTCAAAGTGCTCGGTGGTTTTCTAGGGGGTCCACTAACCAGACCACGGACTAATCTGGGACCACCCTCCCTCTGTTTGCTGCCTCCCTTCTAGTGACGGTTCTCATAAGCCCCCTTTTCTCTCAGGGCGAGAAAAAGGAACCAGGGGAAGCGAGAGACTTGGGCTGGGCCTTCTGGGTAGCCGGTTCCCCCAAACTCCAGATTCAACCACAAATATCATAACAGCAAAAGTACAGAAGGCCAATCCGAGCTGAGCCAGACCACATTCCTACAGGGACCCAGCACAGGGTTAGTAAGGAAAAACAAGGTTTGGCCAGGATGCTCATGACTGCATTTGACAAAGGCTTCTCAGAGCCACAAAACAGAAATGTGTGTTTCAGCAGCTCCCTTTCCTCCCTGGAGACTGGAAGTCAGAAAGCCTGGAGGCCACCGCAGGATAAATTCAGGACTGAACGGAAATGAGGAGCATTCTCTGGTTTGAAAGGGGCCAGCCAAGCCTCTCAACAGATTTAACTCATATCTCCCAAACCTTTTGACAGGGAAGGAGCCTTTGAAGTGAAGTCAGATTTTCCTACACAGGTGTCTCTATCAGTGGCTGGCCCAGGAGGAATTAAGAGAAGAGTGTGCTCCTTGCAACATGTGGTTTGCTTTTTTTTTTTTTTTTTTTTTTCAATTTTATAGAAAGTAAGGAAGGTCAGGTGGCATCCTGAAACTTCTTAGTAGTTTCCCTAGGACCGGGAACTTGTCTCGTTTTCCACTTACCTGTCCGTCACCACTGGGCTCCTTCATCATCTCTCTTACCCACTGCTTTCATCTCAGTTTCCCCATCAGGAAATTAGAGGTGCTCATTTGCATAATGGAAACAACCTCTCAGGCTTGAACCAAATTCTGACCCTTTGGTGAAATCCCTCCTGTGTGAACAGGAGTGCTGCCCGTGCAAAGGAGTCAACCTCCTGGGTTAGAATCCCCTTTGCACTTACCAGCAGCACTATCCCCTCTGCACTGACTCCTGAGGCCTCAGTTTCTTCATCTGAAGAATGGGAACCACATAACATTTACTCCGTTGAGTTGTTGTGAGAGTTAAAGAAGTTAAAACTCTTGAACATGGCTTGGCCCAGGACTTAATGGTGTTGTCAAGGACAATGACCTTATGACCAAGTGCCAAGGAAGTGAAGAAAGGAAAGGCTGCTTATGGCTTTTCCAACAAAGGGGTGAAATTTAGCCCCTTCCAGCTCTCACGAATTCCCACGGTACTACCTATGTGGATACTTAAATTTCTCCCACAGCCCAAAAGCCATTCATTCTGGATTTTCCTGGACCATCTTGAGTTCAAATATCCTATCCCAACATTGCCTTTCCCAGAAATTCGGGTTCCCCTCTCTCAAATTGCTTATGTCACCTCAAAGGAGTAAAAGAAAGGCCAACTTTTCATTGGAAAGTCTGGATCCTGTAATTGCACCATCTCATGATCTGAAGCTCTGGTCTCATCTACATCATATTCATTGCCCCCTGAGTTGATAAAGAGGGCGGGCATTGCCCTCCAAAGAGACCGCCCAGGTTGGACAGCTTTCCGAGACTTGTTCAGAGGAACCAGGGACAGATTGGGCTCATGGTGGCCCTTAATTCACGGCTTCTTCCTGCTTCTTCCAGGTCACAATTATCGGCTACACTCTGGGGATTCCTGACGTCATCATGGGGATCACCTTCCTGGCTGCCGGAACCAGTGTGCCCGACTGCATGGCCAGCCTCATCGTGGCCAGACAAGGTGGGACCACTAAGGGCAGCAGGGATAGGAAGGAAGGCCTCCCAAGCTCAGAGCAGGAGTACGCATGCCAATTAAGAGAGCAGCAAATCCCACCTGGAAGCAGTTATGGGAGACTTCAATGCCAAGTTGGCCTAAAGGCTTCCTGAGACTAAAAGGTCAGGAAAAAGAGCCAGAAGGTTCTACTCCCTTGAGGAAGGCAGAGATGTTTTCCTGGGTAGCATCCACAGATCATTCTGGTTGTACTACTGTCCTTTTATTATAAAAATAGTACTAAAAGCCAGGCTGGTGGCACATGCCTGTCGATCCAGAGACTTGGGAGACTGAGGCAGGCACATCTCAAGTTTGAGGCCAGCCTCAGAAACTTAGCAAGACCTTCAGCAACTTAGCAAGACCCTATCTCAAAATAAAAAAGACTAGAGACAAGACTCAGTGGTAAAGCACCCCTGGGTTCAATCCCCAGTACCTTAAAAAAAAAAACTCTACTAAAGAAGGCATTTTATGTGCATTGTCTTATTAATTTAAACAACTTTATGAGGTATGGACAATTGTACTCCCATTTGAAGAATAAGGAAAGTGGGCTTAGAGAGGACAGACCCCCATATCTAAGGCTTACCCACATGTAGCACTTCTCAAAGTGACAATTATCTGAGGTCAGTTTTCAGCATATGACAGACCCTTTCTTCCAAAACTAAGCTTATAGTTCACCTCCCCAGATGGACACTCTTCCCTTGCCCCCCCCACAATGTGCTTGGGGTTGGACCTCGGACCCTGCACATTATGAAAATGCTCAACCACTTAGCTGCATCCCTGCCCCAGAAGAGCATTTCTGATGGCCATGACCTTCCCAGCACCCACTCTCATTTATATTCCTGATTTATGCTTGAGGGCATTTATTCTCACACATGCATTGTGCAATTACAAAACATAGCACAGAAGTGCTCATGAAATTCTACAAATTTCATTATTTTTATAATGCTTAGTTATTCAGAATAACTGAACACAGTATAGAACTCTAAGAGATAATACTAAAACATGTAAGTTGGTGAGTTCAGGAGCCGCTTTGTAGACTGCTGAGTTTATTCCTTTCTAGAAGGATGGCTCAAAACCTCCAGAATTTTTGGAAACATTTGATTTTTTTGCATCACTTACATTGACTCAGTGATTGCATTTGAAGGGAAGGTCAACAGATTGATAGAATATGTGTCCCTGTGTTTTAAAATTTGCACAGGTCTTGATATCAGTGATGGCCTGGGAGAACCAAATACATGAATCAGCAAAACTACTGTCTTTCGGTCACACCAAAGACTTGGGAGAGTCCCATGTGGGGCCCCTACCCTCTCCTGGTGTGTTAGCCAGCTTTTTGATGCTGTATCCAAATTGCCAGACAAGGATAAAATAGAGGAGGAATACTTATTTTGGTCATACTTTCAGAGGATTCAGTCCATGGTCTGCTGGCTCCATTACTTTGGGCCTGAGGTGAGGCAGAACAACATGGCGGAAGGGAAAGTTTCTCAGCTCATGGCAACCAGGAAGGAGAGAGAGAGAGAGGAGCTAAAGACAAGATAAACCCTTCCAGGGCACACCTCCAGTGACCTGCTTTCTCTAACTAGGTCTCACCTCTCAGTGGCTCATTAAGCTTTCAATAGATTAATCCCCCAGCAATTGAATTAATGATGAGGTCAGAGGCCTCATGATCCAATTGTTGCCTAAAAAGCACCACTTCTTAACTTTGTGGCATTGGGGACCATGCTTTTAACACAGGAGCTTTTAGGGGACATTCCAAATCTAAACCATAACACCTGAGATCTCTTCTCTCACTTGAGCAACCTCTTGTCCTTGCAGGGATGGGGGACATGGCTGTGTCCAACTCCATTGGGAGCAACGTGTTTGACATCCTGATTGGCCTGGGTCTTCCCTGGGCTCTGCAAACGCTGGCTGTGGATTACGGATCTTATGTAAGTGGTTTGTTTCCTCGGTATGTTTTTCTTAAATGCAAAACTACATGGACTCTCTTTTTAGTTGTCTTGGCCACTGAGACACTTTTTCAGGGAAAAATAAAATGTAGAAATAGTAATGTTGAGAGGAAAAAAAATATTCTCCTTGTCAAAGTCCTCCCAAATTCAGGCTTATGGTGACATTCAGGTCTCTAGAGCAGAGGTTAGCAAACTTTTTCTGCCAAGAGCCAAATAGTAAATATTTTAGGTTTGTGGACCAGACAGTCTCTGTCAGAGCTACTAACTCTGCCCATGTAGCAGGAAAGCAGCCATAGAAACTGTGGCTGTTTCAATACAACTTTATTTACAAAAACTGGAATTCAAGTTTTTATTTTATTTATTTGTATATTTGTTTTGATTTTTTTTCAACTACTTAAAAATGTAGAAAGCATTCTTAAGTCATGGGCTGCTATGCAAAACCGGTGGGTGGGCCAGATTTGATCCCTGGCTCATAATTCACCAACCCTTACTCTGTTTATTTGCATTTACTTCACCTTATCACATGTTATATGATGCATATAAGGGAAGCACTAGAAGATGTCATTCAGGTTTGTCACTGAAAGGTGTCCTCCATTGGGTGGTCATGGGATTCCAAATGACACTCCTAAATTCAGCAGACAAAGACTGAAACTGTCAGGCTCTTATGAACTGACTCACGTCAACCAAATTCAGAAGAATTTAATGCATAGGCTACAATGTCAGATGATAGTAAGACACATAAATACCAGGTAGAAAGCATGCTAATTTGGGGTTATTTGTTCTCTATTGCTGAAGAAAACGTTTATGTGGAATGTATTTTGAGGGACCCATGACTAGCCTCATATTCAAAGTTTTACCAGGAACACTCACAGGAATCAGTAACAGGTTATAGGCATGGCTATGATGTATTACAGCGAAGGATATGGAGTGAAAGCAACAGGGAAATGTAATGCATCATAAGCCCAGAGAAGTCAGGTGCAAGCTTCCAATTCCTCCCCTTCTGAGTCTCACAGTTCTCCCTCGCCGTGATCTACAGGGTCACATGTCAGATGTCTCCACCCAGGAAAGTCCAGTGGAATCTGAGACTGGTCATGTAGATACATTTCTGCTATAAGAATAGCTATGATAACTGAATCTCCAAGGCCCAACACAGACACCAGCTATACATCATCAAGCTTGCTAAACAATTCTGGCAACTTGGTACAGCATGCTCCAGTGCTTCCATGTACAAAACAACATCATCATTCAGCAACATTCCAAGGGACACATTCTCAAGGATTGACCAAGGCACTCCCCTAGGCACATAAGGATTAAGTAACTAATTCTTCTGTATTGACACCTTCCACATAGAAAGCCAAATTATTATTTCATTTGTTAGAATAGTATTGCTAGCTACTGTTTTACAGACAACTCCAAAATTGCACGAAAATAGCTCAACAAAGTTTTATTTCTTATTCAATTTTTACTGCTAGTGTTCCCCTTCTGGCAGCTTCCATGGACTCTTCCAAGGAGAAACTAAGAGATGAAGGTTTATTCTATCATTTGGTTCTACCATCTTGGAGTCTTTCTTTGGCCACACAGAAGAAAGCATAGAGAAAGCAAGGGCATGGAAAATTATACACTGCATTTTTTGATGAGCATTAGAAGTAGTTTATGTCCTGTCTATCTTCATGTCATGGACCAGAGAAGTCATATGTACACAGCTAGGTGCAAGAAGGGATCCAGGTCATTAATTTAGCTGTGTTCCCCAGAAGAGGAGGATATGCAGATGGCAGTGAACAGTAGCAATCTCTCTAGTTTGACTCATGTGGTTGAGAGTGAAATCCAAACAAGAAGAATCTTCTGTATAACCTTTTATTTAGAGCTGTGTCCACCCATATTGGAGGGCTTATCTCTGCTGTGAGAACTCTCAACCAAAATACTCAGGTTGAGCTGTCTCCTCTGTCCCACACATGTAGGGCACATTGACCAGTCCTGGCTTTTTGAGCTCCTTTTCCTGGGTCACACGTGAAACACCCCTCTTTCATCTTTATTGTGCTCAAGCTGCAAACAATATTATTGATTGGTTGTATTGAAACTATCTCATTAAGGTTGGCATATATCGATTTCTTAATACAAGTGACTTTGGTTCTGTTTTGCCAGTGCTATCTACAACTAGCTAATGTAAACCTTTACAATTTTCTTCTTTTTTTCTGATTATAAAAATAGCTCGTGTGATATATACAAAACTCTGGAGCAGCACCTGCCCAGTATCTCTCTATAATTATGGAAATGCTCTGTAAATATACTGGCAATGCAGGAGCCACCAGCTACATGTGACTTGTAAGCACATGATATGTAGTTGTTGCAAGTGAAGAATTGAATTTTTAAATTTTACTTAATTTTAATTACTTTAAGTTTATGTAGTAACATGTAGCTTAAGGCTACCTATTAGATTATATAGCTCCACATTAAATAAAAAGTAGCCATAGAAAAATCCAGAGATAACTATTGTTATTTCAGCATATTTTCTCTTTCTAAATGTATTATATGACTGAGATTATATTATGACATAGTGTACACTGCTTTTTATACTTATTAAATCAAACATTTTTTCCTTTAAATGTGATTAGAAACTTCTTTTTCAAAGGTGACCTATTATTCCAGCATATAAATATTCAAAAATTTACTTAATCATGCCTTAGTTCTTCGACATTTACATTACATCAAGATTTTCACTGTTATACTATGTCTCAGACATCTTTATACATCAATAGATTTCAGAGATCTGTAAAAATTTTGCACATAAATCTATAACTACATTTTGTTATTTTTTTAGATAATTTTCCAGGAGTTGGAATTGTATGTAGACTATTGTTTTTCAAAATGATATTCTTTACAATTTAATTTGTCAAATTTTATTTCTGAGGGTTGGGGGCAGCTACACAGTTCCGGCATATTCTGACCACAGGAAGCTTCATGAGATGAATGCTGAGGCTTTTCTATATCTGTCTTCTTATGGCACACAGTGCAAGGCAGGAACATTCTTGAGCCGTGATATGTGTCAAACACAACAGAAGCCATGATGAGATCTTCCACTGCATTTGCAGTTAACTTTTCATGAATTAGAGAGACACTTCCAACCCAGGACAAGGAGTTTACTGATTCCATCATTCAGTCTTTCCTTCTTATCAAGCAGTTCAGCTCTAGCCTCAAACCTGCTTACCCTGCTCTAAACAGAAACCCTGCAGTTAAGGTGACCTAACTACTATTGGAAAATATTTAGTAACCCTCTGTCATTGCCTGATTTTACTTGGCAAGGAAACCAATAAAGATGCCCCTTAACCCAGTTGAGTACTACACATATGAATGTAATAAGTTCATCTATAACCCACCTGGTTTGTTGATTTATTCTTCTATTTGTTTCATTTTCTCACCTCATTAAAGTTGTATAGAAGTAAAAATCATATCTATCTGAATTTCAACTACTTCTGGTCCCCTCTGTTGAGGACGAGAAGAAAGTGCTAAAAAAAAAAATGAACAAAAAAGAAGAAAAGAAACTATACTCTAAATAATTCAGAAAAAACAATCCCTTAATAGTAAAATTTTGCCAGATGGACAGGTAGGAGCAGGAAATGAGAATCCTTCCAAGGTCCTTAAGATCCATGGTATTAGCCTTGTATTACTATAATGAAATACCTAAGACAACTAACTTAAAAAGTTCTGCAGTTTTCTGTCCAAGATTGAGTGACCCCACTGCTTTGGGTTACTGGTGAGGATAGCACATCATGATGGGAATATGAGACGGACCAAGTCACACAGCTCTTGAGCCAGGATGCAGAAAAAGGAGAAGAAGTATTCCCTTCAAGGGTATACTCCCAGTGTCCTAAGGACTTCTCATATAGATCTGCCTCCTAAAGACCTAGAGGACCTCCCAACAGTGCCACCTGGGAACCAAGCTTCTAACACATGGACTTTGGGGGACACTGCCTATATTCAGCCCATATTCAGCATCCATTGGGTTTATTTTTATGTTATTGGGTTACTGGTGTAGTCATGGAAGGTAAAATTAAAAACTTTGAAAAGCAAAACTAGAATTCATCTCAGAATTAAATCAGATTATCTTACCAACTTTGAAATCTTCCTGGCTGAACATGTATATCAGGCCTGTTGTTCCAACTCAGTTAGGCACACTATCTAGCATAAATAATTCCCTTAGTGGTCTGCCCTTCTTCCCTCTCTTCCTGATATTCTCCCTAACTTCTTTAGAGGACATAAAATCAAACATTATTCTCATGTCAGTAATTCCAAAGGCTAAGAAAACATATCCTTTCCAGGTCCCAACATCTAGTGACAGGATAATATCATGAAAACAAAAAATTCAGGCCTTATTAGATATTTGGCCCAAAATTATGTTTTCCATTGAAGATGACATAATTGGGTCACTTTGGTCATTCTGCTGGAATTGTACAATAATCATGTCTAGTCTTATAATTGAAGATCTCCTCTATCCTTGGAGTAGAAAGGAAAATGTAGGAAAATCAGGCCATGCTATGATCAACAGCCACACATACCTGTGAGGCTCTTGGGGGACATTTTAGAAGACTCCAGAGAAAGGTGTGTCACATGGGTTTTTCATGTAAATGCCTCTGTTTCAATAACTAGAAGAGATCTTCATTTTATTCCAGAAACACAAACATCCAAAAAAGACCTCTCTTTTGAAAGCAGAAAATCAGTAATATACTCAGTAAATAGCTCATGAACCCCAGGAAAGTCAAGATCTCATTGTATATACAGTGAGACAACTTTATTCTTCTGAATGTAGATTCCCAGGTTTTCTGGTACCACTTTGGAAGGGATGCGTGGGTGATGGGGACTGAACCCAGAGATGCTTTACCACTGAGTCACATCCCTAGTCTTTTCCATTTTTTATTTTGAGACAAGTTCTTTCTAAAGATCTTACTAAGTTGACCTTGAACTTTCGATCCTCTTCTCTCAGCCTC